TCTTCCTCCTACAACGACAATGGGATCTATTTACATAAAGCAATGATGGTGTTGCTCACCAGCTGTTGTTACACCGTTCATATACAAAAATCATAGTGCCGCTATCTCAACAGCCTAGTGTTATACATCCTAAGAACCATCCTCTTTTTATATGGGAAAGATAATCGGGAACATATGAAATTTCAAGGTCGGGTTTTAAAGAATTAGGATGGCTTGTTGAGACAAAAGTAACAGAGGATGCATGTAAACCCAGTTCCTTCGTTTGGATTAAACGAGCTCCTCTTAGTTCCCAGCGAATGCTGTTTATTGACAGATTCCCCAGATGGAAATACGACGACTTAGGATGCCACTTGAAAGTGAAAAAACGTGAATTATGATTCTGAATCAATTCACTGTGCATGCAAAAGGACGTACAGAAAATTGTAACTCTTTCTTTTTTTAAACGCGACACGTTGAATAACTCTGTTAAGTGCAGGATAAACTCTAAATGCAGAAGGTGAAAAATACATCAAAAAGATAAAAAAATAAAATTTAAAAAAATTAAAAAAAAAAAACAAATAAAAAGAAATTAAAAAAATCGAAGACAAATTTTTTTTTTACAAAAGATAATGATTGTTCATGTATGTACCTTCGGCAATGACTGATGTGCATTTGAAAAAAAAAAAAAAATATGGAAAACGTATTAAAAAAATATTTACGAACGAGTGGTGCCATCCGCCCCGACCTGTCGACGAAATGCGTTGTGCCCCAGGTACTAATATTTAGCAAATCTAAAATAATCCCTAATATTTTCTTTCCGATACATAGTGTTTAAACAAAGAATGATAATAATAATATCGGTATAAAATGAATTATGAATATATAAATTGGATAATACCTGAATGAAGCTCACGCCAGCACGTAGGGGATGCCTTCTTCATCGACAATCACTCAGCAGTGAGTAAAAAACCGGCATCTTCTGTTGGTAGTCAGTAAGGAAGGTGACCTATATATTGCTAGGTCGTGCTTTGTTGCTATGGGATTCTAATTCTGCCCTTTAAGGTCTACCTCTCCCTTTCTAATTAATTTTCTCCCAAACTTGTTCACATATTCAGTGCAAACTCAATGTGCAAAGCAATAAGGATAAAAGTATGGTCAACTTGTAATCAGGGTCGCTGTCCATTTGACCGGAACGTGCTGATTTCCCGAGGGTGAATATAACCAATTGTGCATATACATAAAAAACATGGTAGAAGAAAACTCCTACTCGTATTTGAAGGAAAATGAAGTATTTAAAAATATCTATAAAGATTTAAATATGAATATAAATATTATTTTCTAAGTAATTAAACCATTGCCAATTAGATCAAATAACAGGACCCCTTCTTGTAACTCATGGAATATTGGTTATACTGAATTAATTAAAGCTGTTATTAGAGCTTAGAATGCAAAGTGACGGGATAGAATAAATGTTTTCTTTCATTATTATTAAAACTATTTGCGATTCTATTGTTTATTTCCATTGTAGTTTGCAAAACCTTTAAAGCATTTTATCTTGAATAATAAACTAGTTACACTATTTTCAAGTCCCAGATTTCAAAATAATCATACATTATTGTTTATATCATAATATATTTTAATAATCGTATGACTATTGAAAGAAAAATAGAATACTCGTGTATGAAAAAAGATATCTATTAAAAAAGGATAAAATCTAATTCACAATCTTTATTACTATAATTGTAGGAATATCACTGTCGTTGTACCGTCTAAATAAAGCTAAAAACAATTGTGCAATCATATTCTTAAAGATAAAAGTTAACGAGATTTTTGTAAAAAAAATCTGATAATTCGTTTAAATCTACTGTTTCACTGACAGCAAAAACTGTTCAGGGAAAAATATCACTTTCCTATTGTTTCGTAGAAAAATAACTTTATTTCAAACTTACGATTGTTTTTTTTCAGCTTAGGCAAGTTACAAAGTTTGGGATCACTAACTTTAAGTAATTGGATGCTTCTTTCTCTACTATTTAAGAGATTAAATGCGATTATGTGGACATTCACACACGCGGATATAAACTAGATCGATAAGTAATTAGGTCTGCTGGATTGTCAGGTACAACGATTGTAAAAATTGCGAGCAAAAACGCAATTATTGCATTCGAACGCAACTTTTTCAATAGTAAATACGACTGGCAATCGAAATATTGTGTGATGAAAGGTATTAATGTTGTACAAATATATAAATATATACATGGTACAAATACAATATTCTGTTCATAAATATTTGATACATGCGCCTATAATAGCAAAATTCTTCCCACAAGAGAAAGTATACATTCCCAACAACGCGACCTCAGTGGATGTTGGGAAGTCGAAGCAATGTGGCTTTTCAATAATACTTTTTCTCATAGTTATTAACCACAATGCTTCAAGCCCAAACGCTGTGATCGCGAAATAGAGGCTTAATACAGCGCTACAATCACACGTGTTAGTTTCACCATAAATATATCCAACTAGTAACATTTATATCATTTTTGGAATGTCCAATTAAAATTCTCTAATTTTTGTACGTCAGTACACGCAAACGTATAATACCCTAAGCTTTCTTTACAGCTTTGAAAACATTTAAATTAAATTGCATCTTACCAGTCAAGCTATTAAATAATAAAATACGTTTCCTCTATTATATATTTCATTCATATCATAGCTCTGTCTTTATTAAAATATATCCTTTATTTAAGTATGAAAATAATGCAAGGATAGAGCACCAGACTTATTTCCTGTTGATCGAAACAGCGCTTGGGCTAACACTGGCCAATGTTTCTTTGGATTGGTCTTACCTCTCTTCGTTTCTCCTCCTCACGAAGCTTTGCTTGTCTCCATTCCATTTCCTCCATCATTTGACGCTCCATAGCCCTTTTAGCTTCTTCTACTCTCCTTTGTACTTCTGCTTCTATTTCCTCTTTACGTTTCTCTAGTTCCTCCTCCACCCTCTTCTGCACTAGCTCTTCTATTCTTTTGGCAGCTTCTTCTTCGACCATTTTTTGTTCAACTTCACGTTGCCTTCTGTAAACACAGAAATATTTTGTTGTTCTAACGCTACAGGAGTAGCACACACTCTCCAGATATGCATGCTTTTCGACAGAGTTTATGTCAACAATTTATAAACACAATCGTATAGAATGTAACGATATGGATCAACCAAGTACAATATACTTTACTTGATAAAACATAAAACACAAATAAATAAATAAATAACTAAATCGATCGATCAATGTTGTGTAAATATATAAATATATATACGAATAATTATGAAACTAAAATATGTTATTTATTAAAATATCAGATACTTATGCGTATACAAGTATGATATAATTCAACCACCACCATGAGATAGTTATACAATCTTACCCAACTGCACTTGCGGTGAAGATTTTGTTCGATAATTCTTTCTTTTTCCTGACAACATAATTATAAATAAAAAAAAACGTATACCAATAGAATCAAAATATATAAAATAAGATTTGTTAAATTTCTTAAAAAATAATTAAACGTATTAAGATCTTTTAGACACAAAGTTTAAATACAAAGGATAAAGAATTTGAATAAAAATAATTTGTAGGTGTACAAATATTATTAGTCTGAGTATACTTAACGAATAAAAATAAGTAAATGAAACAGAAAATGCTTATGTAGATGAAATAATTACCTTTGACGCTCCATTTCTGCTAATCTCTCTACCTCATCCATTTTGCGATCCCTGTCTCTATATGAACGTTTCTTATGACTGACAATGTGTACATCATCCGAAGCATCTGTGCCTGAACTAGAAGATGCAGAATGGGATCGTTTCCTGCATAAATAAACGAGCGTATTCGAATTTCATCAAATTGTAAAATACTAGAGGCACAACTAACACGACAAATAGGACCAAGCCATCGATTGTACCTGAATATTTATTAATAGAGTGCTGTTAACAACGCAATAAGGTATATACAACGATAGAGAACGTTGGTATCTAATACATAACATATATAAAAGCAAAAGATTTCTCCTATCGAATACATGGCAAAATGGCGGAAAACTCAATAGAACGAAACGATTCCAATATGCATATATTCGGCAAAAAAGTGGAATATATTACCTTGACTTTGAACTACGTTCCTTTGGTTTGTCAGAGTACTTGTTGTTCGAGTGCTTCTCACGTGATTTCGAGCGTTTCCTTGAATGCTTACTCTTATGACGCCGCCTACTAGGAGATTTTGTTCTGGATCTGGAACGACCCATTTCAACGAGCTCTAATGTCTTTTTGAAATAATCACTCGTAAAAATGAAAATATACTAAACGCGACGGATGTAACTACGCATAAAAATAACCGAACACTACGCGAACACCGCAATATAATAACAAACTAGGCACTGCGAACGTGTACGCCGCACCACTGACTTATGCCGCAGTTTTAGCGGCCATGTTTAAGTTAGTATTCAAGATGGTGCATAAGCATGAAATACGTTTGAGCAACGCAGTTACTTTTTCAACGAAATTTGAGGAAAAATTGAGGTATAACTCACAAAAATGATCGTTTTACCTTATTTATACATTCGTTCAGTTCTGGTAATAATTTACTTGCCGATTTTGATACTTAACAAAGTATTAGGCGTATTCACTTTTTACATTCAAATTCCACGGTAAGATTCCTTCCATTCGTCTTCCGCCAATCAGAACGCGAATACAAGTTAGTAGAATTCCTACGATTTTTAATCATCGTTTCACGTAATACGGAATAGGATGTACACAAGCTTGCCTTTTTTCTTTTTGCTGTGTAAACGCAAGTGGTTAGAAAATGTAAGAATAATTAATCAACATCGTTAAAGAAATTGAGGGAAGTCGCTGGGCGAATGAACGAAAGCTGTTGGACAAATAAATAGAAGCCGATAAAAAGAAAAGTTAAGCGGGAGATAGTATCGTGATGATAATCGGGTGAAAAAGTTGCCCAATGAAATAAGGATCGAGCGTGAAAACTGGTTGTATGGCATGTGTTCCGAAAAACCGCGGTCTTCGTTGGCAATGGCACCCGTTCACAGCTGTGTCGGCGGCGCGCGCATCTCATTCGACTCGTTCCGCGACAGCAGAAATCAAGATGGCGCTCCTCTGTTTGCGGATAGTTCTGCGACGGATATAAATACGTGAAAAAAACAGTGCGAGAAACGGTTAGAGAATATCGAGTAGAGTGTGACGATTGGTATACGCGTATGATATTGTGACAGTCCATTGGTAACGCGTCGCGATAATTGTAAAGCACGGTAGCCGGGTAAGCCGCTGCGGTATTTCGAACATCGGCGAAGGTGATGTCGGTGCCCACCTGAGGAATGCCAGATTATCCTCGCTACGGCAACTCGCTCGGCAGGGGGATGCTAATCGCGTGACGGATCGCGTGCAAGTTGATCGAAAGTGTTTCGTAGGTGGTCCCCCGGAAAGGTGTACGGTCGTGTTTGTTCCGTGACGTATGTGTGTCGCGGAGGGCTGTAAGACAGGTCGGTCGCGAGTGTCGTCGTCGTCGTCACCGTCGTCGCCGTCGTCGCTATCGTCGTCGTGGTCGGCTTCGTGTTCGTGTTTAGTGTGCCGCGAGTGGCGTTTTTCGCGGCTTCGATGTGCTCTCGTCCTCCCCTGGATTTCTGGACAGGCGAGATCAGCTGCTGCTGGAACAACTAGTCCGGCAGCTTCGGCAGACGATCCTCTTCTACAGGAGCGGTGGGGCAAGGAGGTGCCGGAAGCAGCCGCGAGTCCGGAAGCATAACGAAGAAGATGGCCTTCAACGAGGTAAGTTTCATTACTGCATGCCGCTATATCTGCTATCTCGCTATCCCGTTCGGTCGTTCGATCCCGTGGGCTGACCTCGCGACCCCCAAACGCCAATTCTAACCTAACCTCCGTTCCTGCGCACAGCTGGCATGTTATCAACTCTCCCCCCCCCCCTTTCGTCTCTTCCTTCTCATCCTTTCTTTCTCTCTCCCGCTTCTCGAGAGGCCGTGCTCTTTTCTAGTCGCGCCGTTCTAACGTTAAGCGACCACGAGACGGGTCAAAATCGGAGCTATTCGGTTATTCTGCGCGAACATTCAGATATTCCTTTCTTCTATCCGTCCGCGTTTAATCGAGCGCTCGTGTAATTTATACGTATCGCTAAAAATACTCCGCTAATTAATACATTATCGTCTTTACGAGTCGCGAAGCAAAATATTCGCGTATTTTCGTCGCGTTTACGCGTAACGCTCTCGGTACCATTTGCCCGGCGTTTTCTTTCGTGCAGGATTATATTTCATAAGAGGATACCGCGAATCTACTCTCCTATTGCTGGTAACCTGCATTCGCGTTTACGCGGTACACGGCATTTACGATTCTCGTGTATCACGCGAAGAAATCACCTCGCGGGAGATTACATTTCCAGCACGATTCGGTAAACAATTACATCATAGCACAGTGACGCAAAGCCGAGGGACGAAATTTCGTGCTTACGTGTGCATCGTGACTATCACCGATCGCCTGCTTCTGTTAACGTTTCTCCGTGCTGACGATATTGCGTAACCGTACCCCATAAAGAGACACGGGATATAGTGTTTCCAGGACAGAGAGGAGGGAAATAAAAAGCGTTTCAATGTACCCGATTCAGGTGTAAGATGATACGTCAGAACGGTGCATATTTCTGAGCCGCTGCACAGCAGCGACACGGCGGAGGAAAAACTCTTAGACCGACGGGACAAAAAAGTATGCTATGCATATGGTAAATAGAATGCTATCTATTGGATAGCCCGTGGAATAACTTAAAGTTCGAGATTATTTTTCGCGGACTGCTTATCGCCGTCGATGACGCATAGTCGCGGTTGCAATCGTGTGTGCCTTTTATCCTACGTGCCTATTTATTTCTGTTGACCGTCCAGCGAACAAAAAGAGCGCCGACCAGTAATTAATATACCGCGATCGAATGTCATCGATACATGGCCGTATCGTGCGACGCGAAACCGGGAAAACGTATATCGAAATCGTACGCGCGATGTCGATATATTTTTCCGATCGCGTTTATTCAATCGCGAACGCGCGCCACGCTTCCGTATTAGAAAATTCGATAGAAAATCGTAACGAGAAAATCACGCGGAGCAGCAGGGCGGGGAGGGCACGGGGGATTAAAATGGATAGTTTAAGGGTTAATCGTTGTTATTTAGCGGCGTGTTTTGAAAAGAGAAAGAGCGGGGTGGGCAGCGTTTGTATATTTTCCCTCCAGCACTGATGCATGCGACTATGGCGTCGAACGCGTGTACGTTCACGTACACACGTGCAGTCTTACGCGTAGATCATTCATCCGTTCCACGTGCGCTCTTTAAACGAGAAATTAATGAAAGAACGCATCAGCGTTTACCATTAATCTTCATACGCCACGACGCGTATTATTCGTTACGATTTCCTACCATTCAGTCCGCAACCTTTATTTTCATCATTGCACCACGGCAATTAACTACCGAAATCCACCATACGTGTCTAGCTTCACCTCGATTTTTATCCACCGAGACGGATCGTTTTCGGCACCGTTTCCACTTGCCGCGAACGTAAGAAGTTCACGGTCGGTTCATTGAAAATTAAACGCGATCGTGGACGTAGCCGCGGTCGATCGTACGTCGGGACATCGACCGAGGTGTAAAAGCGCACGAAAAAGGGGTAGAGGTGTGCGATAGGCCTTACGAACGCAGCGTTGCACCTGCTACCCGGTCATATCGATCGAGATGGAATATATACGAGTGGCCAGAGTGGGATTCCACCGTTGTTCTCCCTTCTATGGCACCCACTCGTTCGTCCACGATCGTACGGCTTCTTTCTCCCATATCGAGCCTTCGCGGTCTTTACGCCTTCGCGATAACGCGTCTATTCGTTCTCTTCGAGACGCACACGTACGACCGTTCTCGCAAGAATCGCTGTCGAGCGAACTGTTAACGAACCGCGACGGAAACGAAGCTTTCTAATATCGTTAGATTATCGTTAGATATTGGTCCACCCAAAGGACCGGATACTCGAACGAGTCATTTCCGCTGGAAATCGACCGATCGTCGATGATATATGGGCCACGGGTTTACGTACGCGAAACTCTGATTCGCGGCAACGAATACGTGGCTGAACGTTACGAAAACAAAGAAACCCGTTGCTCGAGGAACGATAGCACCGTACGTGTGTACACGCACACGTATACAACTGGCCTGTTATCGTGGTCGTTATTCTTATCGTATTCCGGAAAGCCTAGCTCGCACCTCGGGTAGTCGAGACGCGCATAAACAAACGTACGAACGCGCGTATACGCGCACAGCTATCGTTGCTGCGTTGTTCCACGTAAAGTTTATCGACGCGGGAATTTCAGAGGGTGTATACGCGGTGTGCGCCTGTATATACCTGTGCCACGCGTTCGTACACGGCTATACCGTTATTACGTAGGCGACGGGCACGACGAAGTTTCGATGATCGCTCTTTTTTCGTACGCTCGTTCCGTATAAGAGATGAGAGGCGTGGGCGGAAAGCAGGTTACACGAAAGACTCGTTGCTTCGATATCGGGCGTCGATCGAGGAATTTATCTCGGCGAATCTTTATTATTGTTATTTGCTGCCGCGCTATCTCGCCGGTATCGCGTGCCCGTGAGAACGTGGGCACGTATATATATTTTTTAATTAACGCCGATTCCTGGGTGTCAAGGATAGCTGGGAGGCCAGGCGAATAATTTGCCGAGGACGTTGACACGATTGGCGGAAAGTACGAAAGGGCCGTTCATCGCGTGGATACTTGCGAAATTCATTTCTATAACAGAGGCATCAACATCCACGAAGATAGCCGTTAGTATCGCTTACGTTGCACAATAGACATTGTTTGATCGTGGCCTCGATGCAGCCTGGCTGCATATCTGTTTCTCGCTGCGCGGGGATATAAAGTACGCGCGGACAAACGCGTACTAGATTCACCGATGTTTCGACCGAATCCGTGGGCGAACGTCATAGGCAACGAGTCTACGTCATTGAACTATGGAAATTGACAAAGGCGGGTACATCCGTGATTAAAGCTGACGCTTGTCCTCGGACAATGCACCATTGTGCACCGTTTCCACGTGTAATCTCTACTTCCCGGTAAATTAAAATCTGTCGTCGTTGCTTGCCGCCGCAGCCGGAACGTTTTCGCGATTCCTTGCCACGCGGTGAGAATCGCGAGGATAACGAGGCGGTTTAAGAGCGTGGAGTAGCACGAGGATCGGAAATCGCGAGGAAAAATGCAATTCGCGGTATAAAATGGAAATTTATTGGCCTTCGTCGTCCGCTACCCGCTGCTTTTGCGAATCCAAATCGTTGCGCCGTGACCACTGTCGTAAAGGTAAAAAGAGATACGACGGGGTATACGGTTGTACGACGGGTTTACAAGTCGTCTCTGCGCCGGTCGCGAGTACTTGGCCGTTTTCCATTTTATTTTCGATAAAATATGCATAGTAAAAAAGGGTGGAGCGTTGCGAGCGTCGCGCGAATACGCATTGGAAAACGGCGTTAAAAATTGGCACCGCTGCCAAACCGAAACCAGTCGTAATCGCTGAATAATGGTGATCCCATTATTCTGCCTGGACGATAAAACGTTAGACGACCGCGGGTAACCTTTGCCGCGTGATTTTCACGTACGACCGATTCCACCGTGCATTTTTCTCTTTCTCTCTCTCTCTCTCTCTCTCTCTCTCTCGGAGAGTCGCTCTTCGAACGATTTACGAAGGTGAAATAACGTCCGAGATACATCGTCGGGGTGACACGAACCGTGTTATACGTGCTATCCCACAACAAGTGTTACGATAATTCCCACTCCGCGTGGGTAACCTCGCTCGAAACGCAACGGTGCTTTAATTATCCGTTTTCTGGCCACGCTACTGTTCGTCCTCGTCGTCGTCGTCTCGAAAAGGGACGCTGATTTCTCGACCGCGACGTAGAGGGCAAGGTGCTCGTCCACCGTTCTCCCTCAGGTATCGTATTTTCCGTAAAACTTTCGGATTGGAACAAGGCGCGCGGGAATTAATCGTGACGGTGCATTCGGTGGGTTTCGTTCGGCCGTAAACGTCAGCAGCGTGTTGCCCCTCGTAAAGCGAGTAATAGCTTCGTGCTCGTCCACCCTTCGTACACGCACACGCCACCGTGTTCGCGTCTATGCTCGTGCTCCGTTACCACCGTGTGTGCGTGTATTTACATGCGTGCACCCCTGAGCGAGGCGGCTTGTACCGGGGCACATGTACGTATCCGGCTGCACGGTCGCGCGTGCACGCGTGTGCTCGTGTACTTGAGCGCCGCATAGGTGATAACGTGGAGCCGGTGTGTTCCAACAGTCGGTCTACAGGGTGTTTCCGAGGTAGAAATTCCTAATTTTTCCACCGCCGCGCCGATACTAATTGCTCTCCGTGAAGGGGCGAAGCATCGCGGAGGGATATCCGTCTGGAAACAGTCTTCTTCCGGATTGGAGCTGTATATCCTATTCTCGCGTACTTCCGAAATCGTTAAGTTTCCTCGAGACTTTCCAACTATCGCGAACTAGCTACGCGCTCTCTCGGAAAGTTCCGTCGCAAACAGAATTCGACTGTAACTCGGTTGAGGAGCGTTTCCTACCCTGTACACCCGATAAAACTCTCTTCCCGTGTACTCCACGGGTATCGCGCTACCTTTATTTCAAGAACACGCGGTATGTAAATGCATTGAGGCGTGCTATATCGCGTATGCAAGATTGCAGGAAGTTTGGAAGGGGTAGACACGTATTTCGGTGCACCGACTAT